TCCCGATCACTCCGCCCGGCCTCGCTCCTCTCCCTCTCCTCCAGATCGCTCCGCCTGACCCCCGCCTTCCCCTCCTCTCCCTCCCGGCGCCTTTTTTTCGCTTTTCCTCCTCCTGGCGCCCTCCTCTAATTTTTTTTTCTTTTCTTCGTTTTTTTCCTCTCCCATCTCTCATTTTTCCTTCTATTTTCTTCTTTTTTTAAGAAAAACTATAAATAAATAAATTGGTGAATTCAAGATTAGAACCCATGATCTCATGATTCATAACAATCTCTACTAACCAATTCACCCTATGACACTATATGATTCGTGATCATTGTTTGCTTTATTTGTATATCTGTTCAAATTTTGTGAACACAAACCCGTTAGGTTACTATAGGAATCATACCTTGTTACTATGATTCGGTAGTAACATTATCGCAGAAGTGCAGTAACACGATACGTTACTGTGAAATTTATAGATCGTTACTGCGAAATTTATAGGTCGTTACTGCACTGTTTGCAGTAACATCATGATGAAAATACAGTAACAGAGAACATATGGTAGTAACGGTACTACTACAGTATCACTGCTTGTACATTGCTAAATTTTTAAATCTCAATCTTGTGTACAAGTGTTAAAAAAGTGCATGTGCATGGTCACAAGTTAACACAAGTGTTAAAAGTACATCTAGCAAGCTCAATACAAGTAAACTTTTAGAATTCTAATCTTTAAACAACAATATCTCTCACATCGCATATTATTTTTTAGAACCGTTTTCACCATAATGCTTTAAAACAACGTTACAACAAGACAATAGTCATGTTACTACACTACGATCATTGAGACAAAAATCCTTAACGAAACTTGATCCATCATGACTATTTTATAACGTTGTTACTACAGAAAGGAAAGTAGTCCTGTTACTGCACATTGAACGTCCTATTACTACGCCGTTTCAGCAAGATGAGAACTAAAAAAAAGTAAATCTCAATCTTTAGAGAGCAATATCTCTCACGTTATATAGTATTTTTCTAATCCGTTTGCACTATGATGTTCGTAAAAAAGTGCTTAACAAAACTAGATCCATCATGACTATTTTTCGATGTTGTTACTGTGAGAAAGCTATCCTGTTACTGCACGATGACCGTTATGTTACTACAGATTCCTGCGAGACGTGAACAACAAAGTGGTGGGCGGGGGAGGGAGTCAACGGGTGGGTTTGACTCGGGTTTGACCGGTGGGAGGGTGCTTTGACTAGCCTTTGACTGAGGTGGGAGGGGGGATTTGGGCCCTAGGGAGGGTGGGGGAGGTGGGATTGGCCTATGGGAGGGGGGGTGTAGAATAGTTATTCTAGGGGAGGGGTGTAGAATAGATTTGCTATATATATAATTATATGGGTAGAGTGACACAAAACAAAGGACTTAAATTCTCTCATTAAATAATTCTAGGCTAATGTGAAAGAAGAAATAGAAAAGCAATCATTGCTATACTTATAATATACACTCAACTTTAGTTTGTATTTGCTAGTTGTGCTGACCAATACCCCCTAACAGTGCCCTCTTGGTGCTTTGAGAGACCACCCCGGGTTGCCAAGTTTCTTACGATAATTTGTCATTGCTATCCAACCGGGGCTAAATATGGAGGAGTACCCTGCCTAGGAAACTGTCTTAGGAATATATGCCAACGTGGAGGAATACCCGTACTGAGCTGTCACCATTAGCGGCCCACCTCTACTGTCTCACAGCATATATGCCCAATTTATGATATCTAATAAATCTAAGCACCATACTTACATTATAAAATATTACTCTATATCCACTAGATTAATATAGAGCAATCATTTGCATAAACATTAAACCCACACCACTGCACCTCTCTGATAAACTAGTCATACAACTATATTGGCACAAATATAAAGTAAAACCACTACTCAGACAAAGTAAAGTACTGAAGGTATATAAAGAAGAATATTCTTTTAATTCCGGAAGTGTTACAAAAGAAGAAAGAGAAGCTACTAGAGCCATACCAAAATCTTCCGTAGACTCGAGGACTCCGAGATACTATTCTATTCTACTCCACTTAGCACTAGAGCACTAAACTAAACTTGAGAGTGAGAGAGAGAGAGAGATCAAAGCTTCTTGCTTGAGTGTGTGATGAAGTGAACGAAGTGAGGTTCTTTTATAGCAAAGCTATGACAGTTGGAAAGGTCGGAAACGCCCTCCAACTATCATTGGGAGTTGATCCTGTGAGGGTTCGGCTGAACCCTGGGCTGGCCCAACCAGCCCAGTTTTTGGCAGGCTCTCCCTGTTGCTGCGTCACTTCAGAGACATGAAATCTTGGGCCTTTTGAGGTTATTGCTCTGGTTTGTAGACCCATTTACCCATAAGTCTGTTTCTCGACAGCGTCCGATTGATTGTTCGTTAGTTTTTATATTGATTCTTCTCCATTTATGTAGAAATCTCTGCAAACAATTAATACCCCAAGTACAAGTGAAAATATATTACTCTAAAGCAAAATATGCATTGCAAGTATAGCTAGTTCTCTTTTATTTTAGTTGTATTGACAGTCGAAGCTGGTCTATAACGACCATCAACACTAATCCAGACACTGGGAAAGCGTAAAGAAGCAATTTCCAAGAAAACATCCAAGAAACCCAAGACTTCTAAATCCAAAACATCTGCCGATGATAATCTTTCTCCCATTGATCCAGAAGTTGAAGAGTTCTTGACAGAACAAGTGGAAGAAGAACAAGTCGATGATGCTCCTGCTACTGTGGTTGATGATCCTACCAATGAAAACAAAGAGGCAGATGACAAAGACTCAGCCGATAATGAAGCAGCCGATACAAGCATTGTTAGACCTCGCGCTCCTACTCATGTATTGGCAAGTTCTTTTTATTTCTATCCTTTCATTTCAGCTGATATTATCAATTCTGACATCCAACATTTTCAGCCCAAGGCTCCATCGTCTTCTCCTCGTCGACGAGCACCAAGTGAACGTACTACTTCCGCGATCGGCAGCCAACAGGGAGAAGAAGAAATAACTGCTGCTGTTGTACCCCCAATCCAAGTAAGCATACCCATATCACAAATTCCTGGCCATCTTTGCTTTTTCTCATCTTTCACCCATACTTCGCAGAAGCTAGCCGATATGTTTTCATCTTACATAAGGCAATTTTTGGACGAAGATGATGAAGACATCACAAGCAAGACCAAATTTTCTATCTCTGATGACTTGAGAGCACGACTGTTAGACATAGCTGATCGACTGGGTGCTTCATTGGATGCTTTAGTGACTGACAGTGGCCCGATCAAAGGGAGACTTGAAGAAGTCCAAGATCAGCTGCCCGATGATATAATTGACGCCATCACACCGGCAGCTCATCTTGAATCGCGTCGATTCTAGTTTCAACGACCTCAACAAAGATTAGCAGATCGCCTTGAACTCAAGGCTATGGAATCGACTCTCCAATCTAGCAGGCAGCAAGTAAACAAAAGCAAAACCAAACTTGATGAACTAATTGCTGGCCCAGAATCAACCCAAAAGCGCATTAATGAACTTGAACAGCAAGAACCCGATCTCCTGGCAAAATTGGAACAAACTCACAAGAATATATTGCTTGGAGAAACAGAATTTAGCCGATCTTCCCAAGGCCATTGAAGAGCAAAGATCAAAGTTGAAGGCATTGACCAAACATCTACCTGCTCAAACCAAAGCTATGAAGCTTGTGCCAGGTTCGGATGCCGAAGATGCAAAGATCATCGATGAAGTAAACCACATCCGCCTACACGCGATATCGACAATCCAAAATTTCTTGGGTTGATGTAATAATATAAATCTTAAAAAATTTTTGCTCAAAACACTTGAAACATTTCTGTGTAAATATATCTATTGGCCTTCAAGCCGATTTTACTTCTAATCTTTATATACTTGTTAATATTTTGAATTTTTTGGTCTAATCAGTGGCAAATTCATACAAACTAACTTGACAAACTCACCTGAACATATATCATGAACATAGGACTTAATAAACATATTAACTCACATAGAGTATATTATATCTTAATTATAAACATTCTCTTAACATAATACAAAATATAAATACAAATCATTAAGCAAGTAACTTGTGACATGTGCATCATGAACTGAATATCAAACCTAACAACATCACCTTAGGTCAAGAAGAGTTTAAATATAATTTTTATAGATGCTTAGATCCATTTCTAAAGTGGGAACACATATATAGAGATAGGCTAGATGAATTTCTAAAAATTATTGGTACAACATTAAATCTTGGCAAAATTCACACAAATACTACCTAATAATTACAACCCGTTGTAAGTTTGGTTAAATTTTATCATTCATCCTTATATCTTGAGTAAATCACTTACATGTGTGGGATGTCAGAACTGAGCAAAAGTAGATGCGGACTTTAAAAAAATGAACAGTAATGGCTCGCTCACCACCACCTATAGAGCCCAAAGAACTAGGCCCATATAGTCTAGTACACAAAAAAAATAGCCCATACAGACGGCCCATGAGAAGTATATAGGTCTATCTCTCAACATGAATCTCTAAATATATTAGACGGCCCAATGGATTTTCTGACGTAGAAATAGAAATTCCGCATTCGTATCATCGAAAAAACGAAAAAAGAAAACAACAAATCTTCTCGCGAGTAGCGACATGGAAAAGAATCCCGCTCGCACGCACGTAACACCTCCCCATACTACCCTCTAAGGTCTAAGCTCCAAAAATCCCTAAAAACACATGATCTTAAAAAGAAAAAAAACAAGCTACAAACACACGGTGGCACATTCGTTATTTATGGAGGTACGGTGCCCATTGACGTAATTCCGCACCACACGCCGGCACCCCCACCCCAAATTCTTGCCGAGACAACTCCCTCTCTTCCACGCCTACTCCCGGTTTACGCGGTTTTTCTCACTGACAACGTGGGGCCACGCGTACCACGGATGGAGTACAGTCCATAAGACCAGTTCCAGGGAAGAGGATCACCATGAAGGGAAGCTTCCTCCCTTTGTTGAGTAAAGCACAGAAAAAAGCTCGCCGTAATGGCGACGCGAAAGTAAACGTTGCGCCGACGACACCACCGTCCGCCGACCGACCAAAAACACATCGAGCTCCGCGGCATCGCGTCCATCCGCGATCTCCACGCGCGAGCACAGGATCAAACAAGCGGTCTCGAATCTGAACTGGATGCCGGAGAGGAAGAGCCGGTCCCGGTTCGCAAGCATCCGGCTAGGTCGATCGCCGGCGGGGCTCTCCTCGTCGCCGTCGCGACGGCGTGGGAGCGGGAGCGGAGGGCGGAGGGTTCGGCTGGCGGTGCGCCCCGCGCCGGCGTCGCGGTCGCTGCCGCGGCGGGAGGGGAGCAGGGCCCTCGCGCGCTCCGCGTCCGAGCCGGCGCTCTTGTTGAGCGGCGGGCGCGTCCACCCCGAGCCGCGGGGGCTCTCCCCGCCGTCCCCGCCTCCGCCGCCGCTGGAGCGTCCGCACACCTGCTTCGACGTCTTCACCCCGGACTCCCCCTTCGGCCGCTCCGCCTCCGCCGCCTCCCTGTCCAACTGCAATCCCAGGGAGGTACAGAAGTGGACTGTTGTTGTTGTTAGCCGCGCGGTTCGCGGGAGTGAATTGGCTGGGCTTCGTTTGGTGCAGGAATCAAAGGTGGTGGTGAGCGTGACAGTCGAGGGGAGCGTCGGGCCTGTGAAGGCGATGGTTCGGCTGGGTGCGAGTGTTGGGGAGGCGATCGCAGCCGTGGTGGAGAGGTACGCGAAGGAGGGGAGAAGCCCACGTTTGGATCCAGCTGCCGCGGAGGCCTTCCAGCTCCACCACTCCCACTTCTGCCTCCAGAGTAAGTCATTTAACACGAGCCTTCACATTCGTCGCTTAATATATGTCGAATTGCACTTGTGAGTAAGGGTAAAGTGAATCTAGTAAGAAACGCATCCAAAAGCTGTTGCGCACCTTAAGGGAACATAGAACTAGAAGAATGGTATGCGAAACTCAAAAGAATTGTAGCATTATTTCGAGTGAAATGAAATTACTGCAGGTATATATGATAGTTTGGCTACTACTATTATTAGTGAAAATTTATTCAGGTCTTCCTGAACACAGTAAAATGATGTGTAGTATGAACTTTCAACTTACAACCCATAATTGGTTAAATTATACTGATGGGTTTATACGGAACATAGTTAATTATGGAGGTTGCAGGTTTTAATGCCAGTGTAATGATGCTGGTATCCAACAGTTCTTTGTTTACCTGAGTCCTATTATCTCCCACGTTGGACCATATAAATTACTAGTTGTTACATACTAAAACATGAATAAGTTCATGTTTTTCTTTACGGAACAAAGGATATGAACATAAGTGACTAGAAATGCTTTCGTTGAGCCCAGGTGACTACTCACTATTAAGTCAAATTTCCAACATTATCTTGTTACCTTGGTCGATTGCCAATACATAGTTGAGTGATCTGATTATAGAAGTAAAAGCTGAATCTTTTGCTGGCAGGTTTGAACAAAAACGATAAGATTGGAGACGTGGGAGGTAGAAATTTCTACCTACACAAGAACGATGGAAATAACAGGATTTACCTCCAAAGTGAAGAATCTGGTACAAATTTGGTTGGTGGTGAAATTGCACACAGCTTTGGAGGACAACAGATTGTTGCTATAAACCACGACCAGTTCTTTGCCATTTTCATCAAGAAGCTAGATAAAATTGGCAGGCTGACAAAAAGGATTTGGAGGTTACTAACTTGTAATTGTACATGACCTGACCCTGTGGATGGTTTGGTAAGGATCCATCCAAGTAGCAGCTTAAGAGTATAGGGTAGAGTATAAATCTTAGCATCAGTAAACCGGTGTGGTACCATTATACTTAGGCCTAGCCCAAAATCTCTCACTGCTGCAAGCATCTTTCTTCAGATTATTAACCTTGAAGAGGATGATAGGTGAAACACAGTACTAGAGGTTTCAAGCACCTTCCTACTAAGATGTCAGCTCCTTTTATCCGTAGCTGACTGTGTTGTGGATTACAAGAAGTGCAATAGGAAAACAAAATGGGTTACCAAAGGCTTTGCATCAGTTTTCGTTTTACTCCTACATTGCTTGCTTTGAATTTTTTTTTATTACACGGCAGATGCACGTGCACGCACAACACACTGCGTCATACTCACACTCCCGTAAATGTGCCCTCTAACATGCACTCAAAGATGAAAACTAGCGGCACATCATTGATCTCACTAAAATTTTGTTGAAAACTCACCTGCATATCCGTAATATTTGTTGAATTTGTAAGACTTAGAACAGTTTGCATGTAGTTTGAAACTGGACAGAGAAGTTCGTTCATTGCGCCTGCAGCTTGTTGGTTCACAACTGACCCCGATTGGAAATCAGGTGTTTTCCCAGGATTATGCTCGACGTGTTCTGTTCCTGTGAAATTATGCGGTTAACGAGGCCTTCACGTAAACGTGAATTCTTTTTTGGGAGGCCAACTCCTGGTGGATCCAAGCCTATTAACGTGGCGCAAAGGAAAAAGTACGAATTAACCCCATGAACTATCATGGTTGACCGAATTACCCCCCTAAACCCAAAAACATTGCTCCCCCTAAACTTTCAATACCGGACGAATTACCCCCCTCGACCCAATCCAGAGCGGTTTTATCCGATGTGGTGTACGCGTGGCACTCCAGTTAGCATTTTCTTTTTTTAAATAGTGGGCCCCACCTGTCATATATACTCTCTCCCCTCTTCTTTCTCCTCTTCCTCTCTCTCTAGCATTCTCGCCTTCTTGGCGAGCAAGGCAATGCACGGCGGTGCGAGTGGCGGTGGTTGGGCGAGTGGTGCCGGTTGCGGGCGCGGCTAGGCGAGCGGCGGCGGGTGGGAGGCCTTCACGTGGGACAACCCGAGGAACTGCCTCGCCCAGCCGCGCCACCCGGTCACGCCCTTCCGTTCCCCTTCTTCCTCACCCCCTACCCTGCCCCCACCTCTACCCCTTCGTCGGACCACCGCCGCCGCCGCTGACACCGACGACGACGCAGCTGTCGGGTGAAATATCTCCCCGGCAGTCTCCCGCGTCGATCGCCCTTTCGTTGCTTCCCTTTGTAATCGTGGCTGGGAATGAGTAGGCTCTCTCTCTGTATTGATTGATGAGGGTTGATCTCGGAGGAGTGGTGCGCGTTTGGGTTGGGGAGACGGGGGGTAAGGAGAGAGGAGGGGGAGGAGGAGGAGGAGGGGTGGTGGGGAGCGAGCAGGGGATGCCCGAGAGCGAAATGGGCGACGACGACACCGACAGCGTCGACTACGCCGCGGAGATGGAGGCTGAAGCCGCCAGAAACGGCTCGGTGTGGTCAGCGGCGTACGCGGCGCGGGCCGGCGTCTACTGAACGTGCTGGTGAAGCCTAGAGGGGGGATGGATAGGTTGTCACTGAAAACTTAAAAGCAAATCGCAGCGGTAAAATTCAAACAAACCCGGAACTTCCTGGTAAAGAACACCGGAACATCCGGTTTGCCAGGCTCGGAACATCCGGTGTTCTAGGACAGGAACTTCCGGGTAACAAAACAAAGGATGGAATTCAAATTTCGAAACAGGAGACTAAGCCAATCTTCACAAGATGGTGCACAGGTATTCTGAGCAGAGAATAGATCACAGAAACATCCACAGAAACATCACAGAAAGAGACAAGAGCGATTTTTTTCCCGAAGTTCGGATCTTGCGATCCTACTCTCCCTTGAGGAGCTCCAAAGAGCTGGGTCTCAATTAACCCCTTGCCTCACTTGTGCAAAAACCCCAGAGGAAATCCACAGCCTTCAACGACAAACACCCCTAGGCAAATTTCTAGAATTGATTGACCACCAAGATCCCACTCAACCTACTTCTAGAAATTCGTCACAAGTGTAGGTTGCTCTACTTGGAAAACCTCTAGAATCTCAGCACAAGAACTTCATTAACTTACCTAGTTCCTTTTCGGAGGAGGGGAGATCCTTTACAATCTTACCCGGGACATCCACAATATGCAACGGATTCTCGCGGGCGACACCTAACCGTCTAGGAGATCATCTCCAAGAGTAATAAGCACCGAGATGACAGCTCACGAGATATTCCAAGTGCTCACCCAAGATCCTAGTCTTCACACCTCTCCAAATCTTCTTCTCTCCCTCTCAATCTCTCTTTCTCACAAGAATTAGGCTCTAGATTGAGTGGAGAAGGCAAGAAACACTTGGGAGAGACTAGCAACAGCTCTTGGTTCGAAAAGTGAAAGTGGAATGGCCAAGGAACGAGTTGGTTATGTATAACAGCTAGGTGACGTCATCTAGCCATTACTCACAATTTTGAACTGGAAACTAGACAGGAAGTTCCGGACCTGGAAGATAGTAACTTCTGGACTACACTTAGGAAAATCTTTTTCACAAGACCAGAACTTCCGGACCTGGAAGACAGGAAGTTCCGGACTTGCACTTTTGGACAGATGGAGTATTTGCAAAAATGACTCCTAGGGAAACTTGACACTTGGTTCACACTAAGAGCACTTGACATATCTCAGAGCATCACCTAGAACTCCTCTTAATAGTACGGTATTCCCTAAAAACTCGATTTCAATAGATAAACTATCCTATGCACTTCTCGAGTTCCGGTCCGCTTTGATTTTGTACTTTTGGGGGGTCTCCAAGCATTCATCTTCCACACCTTGGAATAATGCACCTGAAAGTTACTCAATGAACTCATTAGTCCCTTAACCACATTTGTCATTAATCACCAAAACCCATTGGGGGGAATTAATGCACTTTCATCTACGATGGCGTTGACCCGTTCGAGGGGATGGAGTTCGACGACGAGGAGCCGTTGACGTGCACGCCGTGGTGCAGACGCATCCGTAGTTGTCGGGGATGGACGCGACGCCGTTGACATGGAGCTCGAGAGGGCACCGCCCGCCGCCACCGCGTCCTCCTGCGTTGTGCCGCCGCCCCCTGCATAGGCCTCGTCACCGTTGACGCGGAGCTCGAGATGGCACTGCCCGCCGCTGCCGCGTCCTCCCCCGCGTCGCCGTCCACCGCGCATCCCCACGCGACACCGCCCACTGCCCGTCCACACCAGTGTGCCCGAGCTCGTCCGCAGCTGGCTCTCTGAGAGAGAGAGGGACCGAACAGAGAGAGAGGGCGCTTAGGAGAGAGAAAGGGACCAGGGAGAGAGAGAGAGGGGGAGGGAGAGATTTGACAAGTGGGCCCAAGGAGTCTTTTTGCTGACTGGATTGCCACGTTAGCGCCACGTCTGCAAGCTCAAACCAAAACCGCTTAGAACAGTGTCGAGGGGGGTAATTCGTCTGGTATTAAAAGTTTAGGGTGAGCAATATCTGGCTTTTGGGTTCAGGAGGTAATTTAGTCGACCATAACAGTTCAGCGGGGTAATTCGTACTTTTTCCTAGCTCAAAAGCCCGGTGGAAATTTTGGTCTAGTTTTAGAGAAGGAAAATGTTCTCTTGAGGCCTCTCATCTTGTCATCGAGTTTCAAAATCATCACCTGAGTATAATGCATTCCTATCTTACAAAACCGGATTACATTTGGTCCTAAGGCGGTATTAAAGGCAGTTTTGGATGATGTGGCGCTGGCGTGGCAATAAAATCAAAAATAAAAAAAAGACCCTTGTGGGACCCACATATATCAGTGAAACAATGTATTCTTCCTTATCTCTCTCCCCATTCTTTGATTTCTCTCCCACCTCAGTCTCGGCGGCAGCAGATGTGGAGGCGCACTTGTGCTTCTTCCCAGCCCACTTCCTTGGCCGTTACGCCGCCACCGTCTCCTCAAATCTCCTCAGTAGCTTGGACAACATACCCTACCGCTCCCACCCTCTCATCCCCCACCTCTAGGCCATCGTCACCGCCATGTACTCCTAGCTCTCCACCCGGCCACATGTTTGGAGAGGTGAGAGGCGAGGGTAGTCAATTAAGCCCATCTTTCGTGAAAAGAAAAACGGAAGTCCGTCTATTCAGTAGTATGAAATGTTGCCTTCACTCCCCCATCCCTATACGAACTGGGCTATGTTCGGTACCCAGTTGTCCCAACTTCACCTCTCTCGTTTATCGTGCGCACGTTTCCCAAACTATTAAACGGTATATTCTTTGCAAAAATTTCTATAGAAAAGTTGTTTTAAAAATCATATTAATCTATTTTTAAGTTTTTTTAGCTAATACTTAATTAATAGTGCTCTAATATATCGTTCTGTTTTCCATGCATGGAAGATTAGTTCCCAAACCCATTTACCGAACACAACCTTAATTTTTTTATGTATGTGAACTAACACTTGAGTTTTGCTGCAGGTTCTTGAAGCAGAGGCGTTGTACTCATCAAAGGAAAAAAAAAGATTAAGGCATTTCAGTTTAATCATTCTTGGCTCAAGGTGAGGAATTGAATAATTGTCCAAAGTTTCAAGCATTGGAGTCCCTCAGGAGGCCAAGTTCCCAGAAGTCTTTGACCCCAACTTAGAGAGCTGATGAAGAAGATGATGGTAGCAAGAGTACAACTCCTAATTCATTACAACCGAATGATAAAAAAGAGACCAACATGTAGAAAGCAAGTAAAGGAGAATTTGAAGAATGGAGGAGAAGCTGGACCATACAAGGAGGCGATGAAAGATTTGCTTGATGTCAAAGAGAAATAAGGATTTGAGAGAAGAGAGATGGAAGGAGACCAAGGGTGTGTTCGGCACCCTCTTTTCCCAACTCTTCTCCCTCGTTTTCCGCACGCACGCTTTTCAAACTGCTAAACGATGCGTTTTTTTGCAAAAAAGTTTCTATATGAAAGTTGCTTAAAAAAAATCAAATTAATCCAGTTTTGAAAAAAAAGCTAATACTTAATTAATCACGTGCTAATGGATCGCTCCATTTTCCGTGCGGGAGGGATTAGTTCCCATCCCCTAAAACCGAACACAACCTAAGGAGATTCAAGAGCGCAAGCTCTCATTCGCTAAGCATAAGATAGTGTGGGAGCAAGAACAGAAAATCATGTTCTGTGATGTCTCCACCTTGGAACAGATGTGAGAACATATGTGTTGGCCATGAGGACACAAATTGTTGCTTCAAAGGTGGCTGCCCTCAATG